CAATTGCTGACAAACACTTTTTATACTGATTTTTTTTCTGTTTAATTACTTTTTTATTCAAATATTCTTTATTGAAGTTTTTTCCAACAAATATAGTAACATGTAAAGAACAGAGAAACAATGTTGGTTCTTTGTTGTAGAGATAATTAGGGTAGAGGTTAACAATTCCATCATTCACCAGTATAATATTGTATACATTTATATAAATGGTCGAGTGATATTGGAACCAGCTTCAATCGATTGTAAGACAACTAAGAACCATGGGGGATAAGGGGAGGAAAAGGGTATGGGAGAAGGGAAGGGTAGGAGAAATTACATCAACAGGAACAACTGTCAGAGCTAGAAGGTAAAAGAACAACAGCATAGCAGCATATACTCTGGTGAGGGTAAGTCATAAAAATGTAACTTTACAATTGGGGTTAAGTGACCATTGAGACCATGAGAAAGCAAATTTGGGATATGATAAGTTTACAATGGCATATCTCTTTTCCATGTCACATTGGTAATTTATATAACTAATTACCATTGTTTTTGAGGGTGGTGTAAGCAATTTCCATAGCCTGGTGATATTATTTTTGGCGGCTAATAGAATATGGATAACAATACAGTGGGACTTAGAAGGATTGTTGTCCAAGTCAATATGGAATTTCATACTGATTTTTAACATGGATATAATCAAAAAGATTTGCTTTTATTGATGTTTTGCTTAGTTTTGTATTTTATTGTGGCACGTTAAAATCCCCACACTGCCGTGGCCCTTATAGGGACACCATGGTAACTCTGTATCCTTTCACTAGTTAATACAGGGAATAGTGCCATTTATTTTGATAACAAAGGCTCCCTTTTTATCATATAAAATTCACATAGCATATCTTAAAAAAATATATATATAAACATTGCTGCTTTTTAGTTGTAATTTTCTGAAATCTCAATAGCTGAAGTTTTATTCTGCTATGACGACGGAGTTCTACTATGCAAAGGGTCTGGAAAGTTAATGTTTACCATACTTAACCCTGTATGTCCTAGCAGAGATCAAGAAGCTGTCCTTCTGCATTGCCGTGTTAATGAGGGAAAACTTAATCTGGCCCTATTTTGTAAGTAGGGGCAGACTAAGCTTGATCTCATTTTCAAATTATTCAGCATAGCTTGCAGTCTCCCTGAGGCCTGCTCAAGGAATCACCTAGATAGGTAAGAAATATTGTTTAAATAATTATTTTTAGGTATGCTGTGGGAATGGGAACATATGACAAATATGTAGTGGGGTTTCTCAAATTTGACAGCAAAAGTAGAAATATGCTTAAGATTTACATACAGTTCAGATATTTCCATGGGGAGTGTGACTGCTCACAATTAACTTTTTGAGATTAGGGAAAACATATAAAACTGTTGATTACTGGTCTAGGAACTCCTAGAGATCAGCCTTTTAGGGCAGACAAGATCCAACATTGTAGATAGTAATACAAATGGGTGCCTGTGTGTGACGGGAGTGACTTTGGGGGGTGGGGGGACCCCTGTCTCAGCTCCCCATATCCCTATTATGTGTAAGTCACCCTGTGCCTCTTAGGGGTACCGAGTGGAATGTCCTGATATTGTGTAGACATGTATCGTTGGGGGTTGGTCATCGTTTACTGCCTTGTGGTGCATCCCATTGTTCTATTGTGTGTCTTGCTTGGGAGCAAACTATTATGGGATGTATGTGTCTATGTGTATTGGCTTGGTGGGGGGTGTTTCCGGCAGCCCTTACCCCTGATGGGGTTGTCTGCTGATGTGTCTCTGGTTGCTAGATTTGGTTTGCCCCGCCCTGTGTCCATATGCAGGGAGGTGGGTTGTTCCCTTGAATGTGTATATATCTTGTATCTATGTTAAAATAAAGCAGTCCATCTCCTGGATTTCTTACACGTCTGGTGCTGTTTCATCTTGTATGGCCAGCGGTGGTGTCCGTGGATCTGTGTTCAGACAGGGAAGTGGGAGTCTAACAGAAATACCCTAGTGCAGTCGGGGGCCGGTTCCATTACACTGTGGTGTAGTCTGTCTCCTTACAGCGTCATCAACTCAGTACTGGACACTTTTATCCCCTTCCTGCCCAGACCAATTTACTGCTTTCAGCGCTGTCACACTTTGGATCACAATTGTGCTGTCATGCAACAATGTATCCATATGACATTTTTAGCATTTTTTTCCACACAACTTTTCTTTTAGTAATATTAATTAAAAACCACTGGGTTTTTAATTTTTTTTGCACTATAAAAGAAAGATACTAACAATTTTGAAAAAAAACCCACTTTTTTCTTCGTTTCTGTTATAAAATTTTGCAAGTAAATAAGTGTTCTTCAAAAATTTAGGCCAAAATGTATTCTGCTGCATTTCATTGGTAAAAATAACCCAAATCAGTATTTATTATTTAGATGGTACAAAAGTACCAATATACTGATATACTGACGGCTATCTCATTTCCTGAGGCCAGGACAGTACAAAGACCACTTTTTGGAAAGTAGACAGTCTGAGGTTTTTAGTAAGAGGCATGGTAAGTTTTTTGAAATTGTCAATTTTTGTGAAGTTGTAATAATGTGGAGAATTTAAAAAATAATAATTTTTTTTAGATACTGTCACCAATGCAGGACAGCGTCACCATATAACTGTTGTGGCAGTGCTCAGGGACACTGATTGGTGACAGTATGTACACAAATACATTTTCTGGGTTTTTTTATTTTGTATTACTTTTTTGTATTTTTTTTAACTCCTGTGACCAGAGCAATACAATGTTACCATAGTAACATTGTTCTTTTGGGCAAGTGATCAGTATTTTTTTTACACATTATCATTGCTTATAGAAGTGAATGTCAATGGTATCAACAACCGTTTTTACTGAATGAAACTGATTCATTCAGTAGTTATTGTTGTGATTAGCTGTGATTGGTTACATCTAATCACATGGTACAGATGGGCTGTGATTAGCCCTGTCTGTAACATGTGATCACTGTGACCAATTACAGCTATCAACATGATTGAAAGCAATGAATGCCTTGAAAGGAAGCCATTTATTGTTTACAACTGTCATGTTATCTGTTGTGATTGGCCACAGTCATCATCTGTGTCTGGTGGGGAGGACATCATATGATGTCCTCTTAGAATAATAGGGATCCCGCCCGGCCGTCATATTACAATAGGATGGGTGGGAAGGTGTTAATGCATTGAGTTAATAACATATTAGTTACAGTGCAATAGCTCTGAAATCATGACTTTTCTTGAAAACAACAAATCTACTGCTTTGGGCATTTTAGACTAATTTTATGCAGTAATTGGTAAGGATCTCTAGCAAGCAAAACTAATCATACGTAATAAAATGTACACAGTACAATCCTATTTATGTCTGAAGTTATATAGTATATAATCACAAAGCATTGCATATAATAACAATATTTATTTCACGCAAGCTGTATTTTATTTTGCTTGATTAAATGGAAAAAAAAAACAACAGTACTAAAACACAAAGGGGTTAATTACAACTAATAGACTGTGCTCTTTGCAAATGCAGTTGCACTCTGTAAATGCAGTTGCTCCAGAGCTTAGTAAATGATGTAAAGTTTCACTTTGTAAAGAATACCCAATCACTGCAAGGAAAAGAAAAGAAAAAAACATCATTTTTGTTTACACATGATTGGATGATGGAAGTCAGCAGAGCTTCCCCTCATTTACTAAGCTCTGGAGCAACTGCACTTGCAGAGTGCACAGTCTATTTGCCTTTAGCATATCAGCCCCAATGTTTCACAAGAACATTGCGAGGGGGGAACTAAGTACCACTAGGGCAAGATTTTCCCCAGATGATATCTTGATATGTGAAACATTTAGAGTTTTTGCTTCACTGAAATGTTGCCATTTTTGCAAAATGCTGTAAAATCAACAGGGAAGGATAAATAAATAAAATGTTTTGAGTGTTTTTAAAAAATGTTTTAAATGGCTTCTATGAGTTAGCTCCTTTCACTAATCCTGGACCTGTTTTATGGATAACAAATTGGCCCTCATTAGCTGTGAACTTGCTGTTTTATATTAAGGACATGGGAATCCTCAATATAATGTTACTGACCTGTAATGAACTATGTCCCATGATGTGCAGACTGCTGGATTCGGTAGCCCTGTCCTCTTCCTGGTGCTGAGAGGGTTAACAGCTTCAGGTCTCTGGGCTCAGCTGTGCTAAAGATGATCCAATGTGGGCATGTTTCCTTCATATCATCATTAGTGCAGATAAGCTCAGAGACACAAAGCTGGTAACCCTTACATTGCTGGGATTTCAGCAACAGGAACAGGCCATATATCGAAGATTGCTATGGAATCCAGCAGAATTGTGGGACACACTTCCTTAGGCACCATTCACACGTGCGGACTGTTTGTCCATCTTTTATCCATCCGTTGACAAATGAAAAAAGGACATCAATGTATCTCTATAGAAAAACCAATGTAAACGGATGATCATCAATTTACATCTGCATCTGTCAACATCTGTTTTTTTTAAAATGGATCAAAGCCCTATTTTTGTTCTGTTAAAAAAAAAAATGGAATGGATGAAAAACATGTAAACAGACAAACAGTCAATTTTTGCATGAAAGGAATTTAAAAAAAAAATAGCTCTGGGACTACGATGGTTAAGGACTCTAGGTGGTGGATGTAAGAAACGATGAAAAACTTCATTCATTTTTTCTTTGAAAAAACATGACTAAATGGTTTGCATATATGAAAGGGGCCTTACAGGTGAGTAATAAAACTAAAGCTGTAGAGAAAAGAAATATTTTCTAATTTTCAGGTTTTTGTTTAAATAAATGTTAGCTTTAACTTTAACACTTCAACAAGCAATGTGATTACCATGTTAGGCCTGATATGGTTTTCACATGGCTTTGTTAAATTAGACTTAAAGTAAAATATAGACAAATTTTTTTTTACATTTTGGATAAGGGAGGGTTATAACCAGTCAGATTTTTTTTCGCTATCTTTGTCCGATTGTGAAGATTCCCTTAATTTCCTGTTTCATAACCGGAGGCGGACTGACAACTCATGGGGCCCCCGGGCAATAGGGGATCATGGGGCTCCTGTGTCCTTGCCCAAACTCAAAAAAGCCTATGAAAAAGGTACCTGGGCATCTTATGGGCCCCCTACTGACCCGGGCCCCCGGGCCCTCGGGCAGTGCCCGAGTTTCCAAATGGTCAGTCCGCCCCTGCTCATAACCAAACAGGAAGTGAGAGGAAATCCCTGCAAATTAAAGGAATTCCTTGGGGACCCCCAGATCACCAGAACTAGATGATTTCACCTCTATTACTTTTCTGGAGACAACCCAAAATGTTACTTTCACTTTCAATGATAATGGTAAACAGGACAAATAGAGAAGATGAATCTCCTTACCAGGGGCACAGACAGCAGTAAAAACTGGCAAGAGTTTTAATCCCACTCCACTTTATCCAAAACTAAAAAAAAAAAATTGCCTTTAGTTATACTTTAATATTGGATATATTGTTAGGGTTAGCCAAGGACACATTTGAGTCTTATTTTGATAAAATTATGGAAAATTTAGTAATTAGCAAAATCATTTTAGGTGGAATCACTTTGCTAACCATTAATGGTGCTAGAACCTGTAACTTTAGACCAGTGGTTCTCAACCTGTGGGTCGCGACCCCTTTGAGGGTCGAACGACCCTTTCACAGGGGTCGCCTAAGACCATTGGAAAACACATATCTCCGATGTGTAAAGAGCAGCTACTGTGTAGAAAGCAGCTACTCTCTTAAAAGCAGCTACTGTGTTGAAAGCAGCAGTATTGGAGGTAAAATGACACTCATGAATTATAATTACTGGGTAAATAATTTTATGGTTGGGGGTCACCACAACATGAGGAACTGTATTAAAGGGTCGTGGCATTAGGAAGGTTGAGAACCACTGCTTTAGACCATTTCTATCTGGGCTATAGCAATTTCCCTCTAGAAATATTTAACAAAAACATCAATAGGCTAACATGCAATACCAAATATATATTCATAATGACTATTGTTTGTGACACCCAAGGGTATGACAGCTTCATCTCAGTGGGACGTTAGTAGAACTTAGCACCTACAAAGACCAAAATCCTACCCTGGTACATAGCTAGGCATTACTAAAGATGAATTTCTCGACCTGTCTCTAGACAAAGAGAACACAACTTTTTATGTTCATTCCTTTTAGATGTTTACAGCCAATGTTTTTTTTTCTCTTTTTTTACTTTTTATGTCATTCCTTTGCCTTTGAAATGAAACACATACTGTATATTGAATATATAAATACAATCACAGCAATCTTACACAATCTCAAAATAAAAGCCTGTATTTATGTGAAGCTGAACTTTACAAAAGAGAAAAATAAAAAGATGTTAGAAAAGCATGTTTTAGTACCACTTGCACCTATTAAAAAAAAAAAAGAAACAAGTAGGCATAATACGCAGTGATACTTTAATATGACACATTTGTTACACTGAAGCAGTTGAAATGCTTGCCTGGAAGGGTCACAACATTTGTAAAATGCTGCTCACGGCATTACTTTGTGATGCATTGCAAGACGGGATCTTGATAAATATACTCAATTTGTCATACTGTATAAAGTCTTGCAAGCAAGATGTCCTTTCAAGCTTAGACTGGCTGCATCTAACTTGCCAATTAAAGCCACTAGTTTATTTTTTGCTAAGACCTCCTAATTTGAAATAGGTGCCGATTAGCACAAATAAAAATGAGTATAATTTTTTTTTCCTGTGGGTTTTTGACTTATTACAGTTTGAAACACAAGAACCAGCTGACAAGGGCTGTCAGCCATCCAGAAAATAATAGACTTCTCATTAAAAATGTATGGCAATTAGGTTTTCTTTTAAAGTCATAAAAAAAAAATATCTGTAAAAAGTATTGATTTTTTCATTTCACTTATATATTATATAGTGGCATTCAAGTCAAACCGGAACTTTTGGGTTTATATAATAAAATAACAAATTTCAGTGAAAATATAAATTCAGAGTGGAAACAGCATTTATTTTTCAACATACTCCCCTGCTACATTTTTACACTTATCGTAGCATTTAACTAATGCCTGGAAAGCTTCAGCATAGAAAGATTTGTCAGTATGCTTGAACCATCCTAGGACAGTCGGCTTCACTTCATCATCAGTGCTGAAATGTTGACCTCTGAGGAACTCTTTTAGGGGTTCAATTTCACAAAATGTATGTGTCCATGTTTTAGGGTTGAGCGTTCCACATACTGAATGTTCACAGGAATGACTGCTGTGGGCTGGGAACCACCACCACCGCCGGAATCATCTCTGACAGATGTACAGGCATCTTTGAAATGTTTTCACTATTCAAATGTCTTACTGTGTCTTATCACCATACTGTGCTTGACGTCTTTTGTCTATCCATGGGTTTTACACCATCGTTCACAAGAAAATTCATCACCACATGGCGTTCTGTGCATGCACTAACACTGTTGTCTGCCATCTTGATTAACAGTCTCTGGACTGGCCTGGGACATGTGTGCCACCTATCAGTAATAGGACGCACTTGCCACTTGCTACTGCATGTAATACCGCCATGGTAGCATCACTTTTTATACCTGTAAAATGAACTGGTTTGACTTGAATGCCCCTCATAGAATTCACATTGTTTGAAATTCACATTTGAATTCAGCTTTGAACATTAAATATTACCAATGCAACAATATTGTTGTAAAGTTAACAAATACGCTCTATTTTCTCTGGGTCGTCCTGTATACTTGCCGTGTTGTTGCTGGTTCTTTTAACTTTCCTGCATCTCCTTCCAGGTTTGCTTTCTGTGTTCAATGTGCACATTGAGTTTATGTATCCCCTCCAGTAAGCCTTGCAAGTAACAAGGTGTAGTAGCTTGTTCACTTACCTTAGTGAATCTGATCATCAATGTTGTTCCTGATGAATATCCACTCAAGAGCACCAGAGAATACACATCAGTTACCCACTGTAGCACTTAACTAGCTATGGATTGACCTAATCATTGACCCTGCTTGTCCTGGGCTTACCAAAACTCCCCCTGCAATGACCTTGCTGTTACTACTAGTTTTGACGTTACTTTATGTTTTGGTTCTGACTCTCATGGGTTTCAGATACAACCATAACCTCTGATTTATCTGTTTGACAGTTGACTCTGAGTTGCCTATTTGACTGTTAAAATCTAATCTATTTAAGAATCTCATGTAAAAACAGAAAATTGTGACTATACATCTTATTGATAACATGAATTCAAATAGGCATCAAATTATTATTACTATTGTACACTGAAAGTCATTCATTTAGTGGCTGTACCACTATTACCACTAGAAGAATGACTTCTCAGCTCTCCTGTTTGCTTATTTTAAGCAAGTAGGTTTCTAGATGACATCATTGACAAAATATGGTTATGATCACAGAAAAATTCCCCCTCACTTTGGAGATATCTAGGTTGGGAAGTGAAATTAAATCTTCCCAATGAGATATAACAAGAAACAGGGGTTTCCTAATCTGTTTTTTTTAGTCCAAAACAGTTGAGGTAAAAAGGTTGGGGTATACATCCTAACCCCGAAAACCACTAAGCAACTTATTCACTCCCTTGTCATATCATACTCAATCACTTCCTTATTATATCACGACTTGACTACTGTAACTCCCTCCTCACTGGCCTACTTCAACACAGGCTATTCCCGCTTCAGTCTATCCTGAATTCCACGGCCAGACTCATCCACCTTATTAACCTCTCCGTATCCGCCACCCCCCCCCCCTCTGCCAATCCCTCCCCTGGCTTCCGATTGCCCAACACATAAAATTCAAATTATTAACATTGAAGTACAAAGCTGTTCATAACACTGCCCCAAACTACATCACCAACCTGCTATCCATCTACCACCCAAAACGCACTCTCTGCTGCTCACAAGACCTCCTACTCTCTAGTTCCCTGGTCTCCTCCTCCCATGCCCATCTCCAGGACTTCTCCAGGGCTTCCCCCATCCTCTGCAACTCACTGCCCCAATCCATCAGACTGTCACATACCCTCCTCACCTTTAGGCGCACCCTGAAAACCCATCTCTTCAGGGAAGCCTACCCTAATTGCCCATCTCCTCCGCTCTTCTCACCACTCCATCCCCCACAGCTATTTCCTCCTGTACCACTCTCTCCCCTCCCTCCAAGATTGTAAGCTCCAAGGAGCAGGGCCCTCGAACCCCTCGTGTATTGTATTGTATTGTTACTGTGCTGTCTCGTGTACTGTCTCCCATTATAATGTACAGCGCTAAGCAAACTGTTGGCGCTATATATATACTGTATAATAATAATATCACACCTCGACTATTGTAACTCCCTCCTCATTGGCCTACCTCACCGCAGGCTATCCCCCCTCCAGTCTATCATGAACGTTGCTGCCAGACTCATCCACTTCGCTAACCGTTCTGTATCTGCCACCCCTCTCTGCCATTCCCTCCACTGGCTCCCAGTTGCCCAATGGATAAAATTCAAAACACTAACAATGACATATAAAGCCATCCCACAACACTGCCCAATTTACATAACCGATCTTATCTCTAAATATCACCCAAACCGTACGCTCTGCTCCTCGCAAGACCTCCTACTCTCTAGATCCCTTATCTCCTCCTCCCATGCTCATCTCCAAGACTTCTCCAGGGCATCGCCCATCCTCTGGAACTCCCTTCCACAATCTATCAGACTATCGCCTACTCTACTTACTTTTAGGCGATCACTAAAAACCCATCTCTTCGGGGAAGCCTATCCTGCCTTCTGCTAATACTGGAATCCTTTACTCTTCCAACCACTCCATCCCCCACAGTTATTACCTATTATACCATTCACCCCTCCGTCCTAGATTGTAAGCTCCAAGGAGCAGGGCCCTCAAATCCATCTTGTACTGTACTGTATTGTTACTGTATTGTCTCCCACTATAATGTAAAGCGCTGAGCAAACCGTTGACGCTATATAAATCCTGTATAATAATAATAATAATAGATATACTTTAAGCATAAAGAGGCCTCAAAAACTGGCTTTTTGAGCTGTTTTTAACACCAGAGGTATTCCTTGGGGTTCCTGATCATATGATCACTGTGATTGAAAGTCACAGTGTTCACATGTTTAGAAGCCCATCCTACCAGCATCTGATTGTAAACAGTAACTTGGAGCTGTAGTTGACAGCATGGTCACAGT